GGTGGAAGTCAACAACCACCAATTTTATCAAAAATATAAATATCAAAAATATATATATATATATATATATATGTATATGTAATTGGCGGTAATATTGGGTGGCTCATCTGCGTGATGGCAAAATATTTCCATGCTGTGAATATCTGCTATGAGACTGTGGAGGAAATGAAAAGTCAAAGAAAGCCAACATTCTTCAAATGAGTGTTAATCTCAATTCTTTTTCTAACAATATTATTGGAAAAATAATTTGAAAAAAAGTTTATTGGTGGAATTTTGGACCCTCCGTTATAGTCTTCGTTACTGACCATCACTATCTATTAAAACATCTGATAAACATTGTCCCAATTTGCCAATTGAGTAACTGAAACGGATGTCCTTCACTTGAGTTGTTGTCTTGCACTCAATGAGGTAAAATCTTTGTGACAAATATTAGGAGGCTGGAAACTAATTAGATTATGGACCATACTGTAAACTGACTTTTTGTTTACTAGTTCATTGTTATTTTTTATTGTTTTTTCTGCCTTTCTGTTGTTTTGTTTCTGATGCTTGTCTTTGTAATTTGACATGAGAAATAAATGATAATAGAAATGTTAATGGAATTGTTGTAAATTAAAGGATTTGTGCAAGAAACCAGTCCAACAAATTCTATGAAAGTTAAGAAAATGAACAGTCGCAAAAGTCTTTTATCACTACCTGGAACACCCCCTTTGGCTTCTGGTAAGAATTGTATTTTGCGTATGTGTTTTATTCAATAATATGACTTTTTTCAATTATTTGTTCCAATATTTATTTTAGAATTAAAGACGGATTCTTTGAAGAAACATACTGCTCCATGCCATAAGGTTTGCTCCATGAATGAAAACAAAGCCAAAGCTCTTTGCAAAAGACATCCCTTAATGCTCATTACATATCCTTTTTAATATCAAATTATTAATCTTAGAAATAATACAAAATGCGTTGAATATGTGAGTACAAATCATTCCGTAAAATCATAGCGCTTAAAACTTGTAGATTAAAATTTTGTGAAAATGTGAAATCTTTAGCAACTTAAGTACAAGTGTAAAACTAGGATAGGTTTCAAGTGGTTTTATCAATTTAAACTTGAGAACACTCTATGCCCATTAAGTTTAAGATACTCCATTATAATTAAGTTTTACATGAATTTGTAAAATACTTCGATAAAAATATTAAAAATGTCTTGAATGCGTTTAAGCGCTTAATTATTTATTGCAATAATAGAAAGTTTTAAAAATGTTATATAATAGACCAGTGTTTCCCAAAGTGTGGTACGCGTACCCCCAAGGGTACGGGAACAGTACGCGTTCTTATGCGAAATATCTTGTAACAAACAAAAATTTCAAAAATTTTTATTTAAAAGCAAAGCTAGCCATAAAAATTTACAATTACGTATTTTTCTATTGGCTATTTTTTGCTGAGTTAACAGTTAATAATTAGTGGTGTCAATAGCCAATTGTGATTTTTAACTTTTATGCAATTTTTTATAGTAAAAAATGCATTCATTTTTGTATTAGTGGTGCACTAATACAAAAAAATACAGTTAATAATTAGTGGTGTCAATAGCCAGTTGTGATTTTAAACTTTTGTGCAATTTTTTATACAAAAAAATGCATTCATTTTTGTACTAGTGGTACACTAATACAAGGTTACGAAAATTTAGAAAGGGTACACAAAAGTCATAAGTTAGGGAAACACTGTAATAGACGGATTGACGAAAAAGTAAATTTTTGATCTACCAAAACTTTAAGATAACCATTTAAATTTGCAGTTTCACTGTTGTTAATGTTACATTTCCAAATGCAAATCTTTTTGTGCAAATTTAAAGGATAACATTGAAACGAAGATTTATCACTTAATAGATACCTACGGGTTAGTATTTAACTCCAGATAATAACAATCATCTTTTTTCCTAACCTTTTGCTTATGGCTGGTACAACATATGGACCACATGTGATGGTACACCGTAAGCAAAGTGTTAATTATTTCATTTAAGAAATCTAAGTTTTGGTTTTCACTTTTCTGATTTTCTTTATAATAATTGACTTCAACATATTAAATTTTAAAAAACCTTTTTCTTTTAAATCTATTCTTCTACATCTAATTCTACGAAATCCATTTTTAACACAGATTTTGAAAAACAATATTTGAAACAACTGTTTCCGATACACCGTGACATCGTTTTTTCTTTTCTTTTAAAAATGTAATGTTGTGAATTTTAAATAGTATTGAGTTGGCAATTAAGTTCTCGGAGAATTTTTTTTCTACAGTTTAAAGTATTTCAATTTCGCTGCAGTTCCTCTTGTCATCTCTAAGCAAGTTTTCGTGCAGAAATTAACTCTTCATCGAACTTAACTGGTCGGACAAAACGACATGCGTCTTTGAGGAGAAAATTTTTATTTTAAAATTTGATGTACCAACCACAAGAGGTCCTTTCAACTATGGCTGTCTCCATACACTGTTAAAAGTCCCAATCCACGTCGCACCAAAAATTGGTATTCATTTGCTGGCTACATAAAATGGAGCTCAATTTAACCATATTGTGTTATTTTCACTAGCTCCAAATATCAGTTGAAGATTGCACCAAAAAAGGTATTTTGAAGAAATAAGGCACTGATTTGTATTCTTTTTTTTCTTAATAAAAGCAGAGGAAAGTTTCACCCTTATTAGGTATTTTTAAAGCGTTCAAATGCAAGCCAATGTTGCTATTTACCGTAACAAGACTATTTACCGGAAGTAGGTTATTTTATGACATACCTCTAACCTTTTTATACAGCCAACCAAATTTGAAAATTCAGCATAAGAGAAATGAGCTCTAATTATTGCAAATAAATCATTTACCTACCTAAATGAGTTGATACTTGAAACAACATGAATGAGTCGTCCCGAAACACCGAGGCCGAGTTATAAAGAAAACATAGCGACGTAAACAAATATCGTTCAGTTTGCAGTCACCGTCAAAGTTTTATGTCTTTTACCAAATTTTAGTGCAGTTAGTTGCACCATGGAAGTATTTCTCGATCATACTTCACAATTTATGGTGTAACTAAAATAAAATGATCTTCCATTTAACTAAACTTTGGGATAATGAGAAACATTGCACCAAATACTGGTTGAAGTTTTGCTGAGTTTTTTTACAGAATGCAACATAAATACTATAGCCAACTTTTGCGACCTTAAGAGCTTTATTTAAAAGCAAAAAGAATGAGGTATCGTCGAAAATGTTCAGTTTTCAAAGCATGATATTCCATTTCAGTGATCTGAAAGTTTATAAAAATTACCTAGAACAAAAAAAATGGGTAGAACAAAACATCTTTTTATAAATGAGCTGAAAGCAGTATGCAAAAAAAAAAAACAGTTATTGACTTGCAGAATGTTGAAATTAAAAAAAAAATGGCGGGAGCTTAGCTGCCAACTCAATACAATAAACTATTTTTAAATATTTTAGTTATTCTATTGTATTCCAATGTGCCAAAACTCATTTAAATTGTAATATAGAGCATGTATGTGAATTTATTCTAATAAGCGGAACTTCTTTAACCTCGCATACTCATTGTGAATCACATTTGATGAGAGCTTATCCAGCAGGAATACGTATTGATTCGTCCAATTTTAATCCTGTTGTGTTTTGGTCTTTTGGGATCCAGATGGTAGCGTTAAATTATCAAACAGAGGGTAAATTTGAGTATTTAAAATATTATATCAACAATAAGTGAAAAAAGATATCATCCTGAATAACTTTTGATTTGTTTTTCTATCTCTCTCTTTCAAAAGCAAGAGGAAATGGAAAAACTAAACCCAAATTATTCAATATTACAAGGTGCGCAAAACACCATATCGCGTAATATTATGTCAAAAGAATAAGTAACGAGTTAATGATTCAATTTATATGCCTTAAAACATGATTTCTTAGATTCAGCATCTAATATATTAGACAATGTTTGGTATTACTTAAAAAGTAATATTTTATGATTTTTCTGTTTATGTACTTCTGCAAAGCGATTGCCTCTGTAAAATGTAATTGGTTTTAACTTTGGAACTTTTAATTCCTTATTTCTCGACAACTTTCTCAAGGAGCTTTGTCCAGACCAGCCTTCTGTTCCAATTTCTCGGGGAGTGAAGACAGGTGCTTCCTTCCTGCAATGTGGTTTGCCCATTTTGTTTGTTGTCGATTCATCAAAATAAGGTTGATTATAATAGCGATTGAGTTCCAAATTTGATCTTCTTAGTCACGTGTCTTTTCTTTTGAAAGCCAAAAAAATTGTTCTTAAAACTTTCCTTTCGAAGATACCAATCATATTCTCCTCAGACCGATCAAAGCATAAATTAATATTGATTTTATAAGACTCTTGTACAATAAAACCTTTGCTTTTCTCTTGATTGCATTCGTTTACAGATGCTTTCGTATTCCATTTCTGTTGTTGATTTCTTAGTCTAAATAAGTGAAGTTGTCAACAGCTTCAAAACTATACTGTCCGGTTTTAAACTAGATATTGTTATAACAAGATTTTATGCAAGGTATTATTTTCGTTAATTTTCATGCCTTCCTCGAAAGCCTCCTTTTTTAAAGATAAAAAAGCTTGTCTTAATGCTGTAGGGCAATAATATCTATACCATCAGCCTAACAATTGTACTGATTTATTAAAGATGTATCCTCGGATATTGATGATCTTATAATTTTTTCTATTTCTAGAATAAAGAGAAAACACGCATTTTATCGAACACCGTTATTACCATAAATCCTTCTGTATTTTGACATATCATGTCATCAATCTTAATAACTCTGAAAATTATAAGAAATTTGATAACAAATATTGGTTGGCATATCTTATTATTTGAGTCGAATCGATTTTGTTGCATGACCAAAATTTGAAAAAACATATTTTCATCGTTCAATACGTAAAAAAAAAAATTGCCAAATATAAAAACTTATCGTTGTTCTATGCAGTAATTAAAAATAATTCTAATGTAATAAAATTTAATTAAATGCAAGTTTTTTTTAAAAAAATCTATCGCATTTACTCAAGTTACATATTTTTAATTGAAATTTGCATTATTTAAGGCTCAGGTTAAACAAATACGTTATTAATAAAGTTACGAAATGCGTTTTTCTCTAAATAATCATACTACTTTGGTCATTTTCTTAACCACTAAAATGGGGCAAAGTTGCTGCATTTAATAATTTAGGCTGATAATTTAGTTAATAACTGGCCCCCAATAATCTAGTAAAGAGAGCTGAGAAGTATTTGGACACGATAATTGTTAATTTAACTATTTGTATTTTTGATCGTATCATACAACTAATACAGAAAAATATAAAGTTCATACAGTCACTTGTGAATCTGGTTCACCCACAGATCAAGAAATAATACAGATAAGAAGTAGTTCTATACAATTATTCACTTAATTTTATAATGGTCAATTTTTTTTAAAAATTTTTTTCTTTGTTTAAAGAATGATTTTTTTTTAATATCATATTCATATTATGTACTTTGTTATAATGAAATCTGAACTGAAAAATATTTCCATTGTTTAGATAATGAGAAGAAGTAAAATTAAAAATAGTTCTCTAAAATAAAAATTTACGAAAAGGGAAAAAAAGTGAAAGATTCATTCCTGTGATCTTTTACTTTCAAATTTGAAAGTTAAGTATAGACAGAACTGTGAAATATTGACGACGGTTATTTACCAGACGTGGATGTATAAACAAACAATTTCAATGTTTCTCTTAAGCTGATAATTTTCAAAGAAAAAGCCTATATATTTTTTTTATCTTTATCTAAAAAATAAAGCAGTAGAAATGGTGATATATACTGACATTCTATTGGCAGCATGTTTTTAACGAATATTAGTTGAATATAATACAGTCTGACCTCTATTTAACGAAGTTGCTGAATCCAAATAATAAGTTCGTTATATAGAAATTCGTTAAATAGAAAATCACCTTTTGAAATACTTATTCATAAACACTAGACATAATTAAAATAGCAATTGATACACCTTTATCTCGTAAACTAGTATCTACTATTTATTTTATAAATGTTAGCCATAAAAGAAATCTGCACGGAAAGCAGAACATTATCCAGCATTGCACTATCATGCTACATACATTTTCAACTAAAGAAACAAAATTTACCTATAAAATTATAGCTGCAAAGTAATTTTAAACATACATTACCACATTCGTTCTTAAGTTTGATTGCTGCTGATAAAATCCGTTAATTTTGTTTACGTTTTTGTTTGAAATGCAAACAAAAAGGGAAAAGGATTTCACTGTTTTCTCTAAAAGTTAAATGGCTTTGAAAATCAATTCAAGGTCATTTCCCTCATAAAATGCGATAACAAGTTTGAAATATTCAGAAATATTTTTCGAAGTAGAGAAAGTGGAGCTCAAAGAAAATTTCGTTAAATAGATAATTTGCTTCGCTAAATTATTTTACCAAGAAATTCCCAAGATGATCTTGGTTCCTCGAAAAAATTCACAAAATGGAGAAATTGGCAAAATGGAAGTTCGTTAAATAGATGTCTGACTGTATTTGTTCAAATCTCTAAACTTAAGTAAGATTAGACCAGCAGACAGCTCGAACTTCTAAGACTTAAAAGGAAATAATATAGAATACTAAAAATGTTAAGGAATAATGATGTCGCTCAAAATATAAATTCTTTCTTCACCCTCTATCCTACTTACACCTAATTAATAAAAAAAAAAGATAATTTAGGTTTTTCTCCTCATGTTCAATAAAATCAGTTGATTGCTTTATAGAAAAATACGTATATTTAATAATGGATAAAAATAATTTATTCTTCAAAATTAAAAAATATTTCGACCCTTTTTAAATTAAATAATAAAATAATACTTTTTGGTAGTATATTTTATGTGCATTTTTTAAATCTTTTCTTTTTAATTGATCCGATGGCTATCCTATACTTGAACTATAGTCCATTGTATACTCATTTATAAAGAGCATATCAGGAAAAATAACAAGAAAATATTTTTACAAAAAAATATCTTTTTTCAAATAAATAATAATAAATGTTTTGAACTGCAATTCAGACATTTTAGTCTTTTTTTTCTTCTTTTTTTTTTTGCTTCATCACCAACTAAAGGCAAGTAATAATAATTTGTCTAGGTTGCTCCTTATTGTTGGGTACTTTAGACAAACCACTATATTTTTTGTCTGTAGATCTAAGTTTTATAACAATATATATCGATGATAAATATACAACAATAAATATATCTCTGAAATGAATGGTCTTAAAATAACAGATGTCTTATTGGAAAACTTTCCTATGTAACCCCAAATGACTGTATGCTTATTTAGAGAAAATAAGTTTTTCGATCGGATTTCGTTACATAATAAATGAATTAACTCTAATTAGTTAACACATTTAATGTCCAGTTTTCGAAAAATTTTATATATAGACTTTTGAACCTTAGTACTTAAAAATGCGTTTCTGGGTGACATTTGTTCACTGTACCAACAATATTTTTTAAATGATTTTACAGACGGCTGTTTGCATATTAATTCTGCCATGTTTGAACAAAATGGCTCTTGTGGATATGTATTGAAACCTCGAACTTTATGGGACAAAACACATATGATGTATGGACGATTCAATCCATGGGAAAAGAATTTTGATGGATTTCATGCTATAAATTATTCAATCACGGTAGGTATAAATTCTATAATATTTCACTTTCTTCTGGGTGTACAGACTGACTGCTTTCAAGATATCAGAATCAAAGGATGATAGGTTAATAATACAAACGGTATATCTATTGTGAGAGCTGTAAAAATTATATACAGTAATTTTGGAATTTATGTGAAAAAGTTACCAACTGGAGGCGCGGTAAGGAATTCTCGAAAAAAATACAAAAGCCTTAAAACTGTAATCAATCCTGCTATTTGAGTACCAGAAACACCCGTAGTTCCATAGAACCGACAGTTTAAACCTCCTAATCCTGTACGAAAAACTCCTTTCACGTTTTAACGCTAGAAATGATCGGTCTGGCACCGATGGTTTGAGGCGCCATCTTTCGGCAACCTTTCTATTGCGACTAAATTTCAAAATTTTTACAATTTTCTTAGTATATAAATAGCATGTGTTAAATTCCCTCATCGTTCTTTATTTTCGAGATTATTTATATTTCGAAATAGTCACTCATCTTCTTAACACATTGTACCATGTTTTTAGAGTTTTTTTTTCTATATGTCTCTTACTCGTGTATTTTTTTTTTTTTTTTTTTTTTTTTTNTTTTTTTTTTTTTTTTTTTTTTTTTTTTTTTTTTTTTTTTTTTTTTTTTTTTTTTTTTGCTGAACAGGTTTAACAATTCTACTAAATATATAATACAAAACACTAATGTAACTTTGATGACAGCAATAAAGCTTTGCCCAAATGAAAAATGGAGATGTTTGATAGCATCAAAAATACAGTAACTATAGCAGCAGAGCCACCTTTCACGGTTTCAAAATAAGACAAGAGAAGTAGTAGCAGACTGCCTGTCTTTGATAAACCAGTTCAAAGCGGAAGTAGAGTCAGACAAAATCGTCTTCTTAACAGTTTGTGCTAAACATTGTTCGCTATAGACAGCAATCACGCTATGATTTATTTTCGTATTTTTCTCTCTTTCTGACATTAAAAATTGCTCCGCTATGCGTTGCTTTCGTGACCCCTTCTCTTACGTGAATTGATTTATCATTTAAACGCTATCTAGAGCACTTATTTTGCCTGTTATATTGCTGTTATCGATAGTGAATTTTCAAGTGTATTTATTCTTCATTTGAACAGCCCTTATATTTATGATGAATAAAGCTTTGACCTTATATTTAAGGATTTATATAAATTGGAAAGGTAAACTCACATTAATTTTTTTAAAGTAGTAGTTTAGTGACGAAGCGAACGTATTGTTTTGTTTCAAAATGTTGATTCAATTGTTAACACAAATACATTTGTTGGGTATCTATCGTTTTTTATTAAATTTTGAAAGAATATGTCTATTTGTTTTTTGGATAAATAAACATCATTACACATTCATTTTATTAAAATTGGTATTTAAATAAATGTTTTTAAATAGTATTAAATAGTGTTTTCTTTTCTTTTAATTTTTTAAATATTTTTGAAAATATTTCATTAATAGTTTTTCTTCTCATCCTTGAAAATTATTTAAATATTTTTTTATTGTTTTCTTGGTATTTTAATATATATAGATAATCTTTTTTTCTTTTTAAAAGATGACCCACGTGGGAGAGTAACGACATTATGTATGCTTGTCCTTCAGAGCTAGAACACCATCGACCGGTATATACGCTAAATAGATCTTATTTTTTCTTAATTTAACTTTTTAAAAACTGTCTAGGTGTTACTTACTTAGCATAAAATTGGGTTTATATGGCAATTTTTCTTAAAAGAGGGGGGAAAACTGAACCTAGGTGTTCCAGCAGAAAGACTGCAGCAATTTCTAAAATGAGAATTCTTCTGATACCGATCCACACTACGCATCAGTCAAGAAAACTACTAACGGTTACAGTTAAATTAAAGAATTCTAAATTTAAAAAACTTGAGTCAATAAAAGGTTAAATTTCACTGTTGTTAGAAATGAAAAAAAGTTCGATTTAACGAATTATTTCAATTAGTTAAAAATTTATCTAAAGTGAGATGCGACAATAATTTTAAAAAATTCCAAAAAAAAGTCTAAAACTCATTCTTCTTTCATATAATGCAAATTTGTAATCGAAAATTAAAGTTTTTGAAGCTCTTTTAAAAGTTTGACAGTTTGAGTCCACAGTTTGAGTGTACCAAACTCATATGCACACCATTTATTTCTGAAAAATATTTACTTTATTTTAAAAGTGAAAAATATTTGAAATATTTCAAACATTGTTTTTATTTTTAATTACAAATTTATTGATTAGATTTTTTAGCACTATGTAAAAATCATAAAAATCAATTGATAACCCTAAATTTATGCATACTTTTGTGAACATAACGAATGCAGTGGCGGAATAATTTCTGAAATATTTCTCTTCTTTTCTTCATATTGGTATTTTGTGCCATTTTAATATCTATCATATAGAGCACTGGCTAGAAATGGTCAAAACTTATCTCAACAGTTATCTTATGGCCAGAAGTGGCAAAAAAAATTCTCAAACATTCACCTTGTTTTTGGTTAAAATTTGTCATAACTTGTATCAACTGTTCAACCTATTAGAGAAGAAATTGTAAAAACTTAACAAAATATTTGCTAAAAAATATTTGCTAATTTCATAGAACGTGTTTAAATAAATTTTTCCATTAGTTACAAAATAATATGTAATATAATTTTAATCGTATAAACATCTAAATGTATTTATACTATCCAAAATGATCCTTTTGTTCATAAAACGTATTAAAAATAAGTGTTTTTAGATTATATCAGGACAATATGTTTGTCCAAATAACTTTGCTGGCAGTCCTGTTGTTGAAATAGAAATAACTGGAATTCCAACTGATTGTAATCGCTTCAAGACTAAATTAGTTCAGAGAAATTCAGCAAATCCTATATGGCATGAAGTATTAAGTTTTCGAGTAAGTATTTTCTTTGTTTGTTTACCAGCCGTTTAATTTTAACCCTTTAACCCACGTGTATTTAATTTTCTGGTATATTTTTGATGTCAAAATTAGAAATTATATATATATACATATCTGCGTGTGTGACCAAAATCAAGAGAGCGTCGACTTTCACCTTTGAATGTCAACTATCACATAGTCGTTTTGGTGAATGTCCAAAATATTTGTTATATCCGATTTGATATTAATTTATTAGTGGATATTATTGCATCTATTCGATATTTTAATATCTGCCGAGAATAGATTAGAAGAAGCATAAATGTTTGGAGTACCAGTTAAATGCATATCGGGCAGTGGCACCTAACTTTTAAAAAAAAGTGTATTACACGAGCGAGTGTATTACAATAGTTGACTCGTTTTGTATTCTATCAATGTATGTTCAATTGATCCAGTTGTTCTAGAGATAATCGTCTGTAAATTTTCTTCATTTCTTGCACCAGTGTCATTTTGAAAAACAATGGATATTTTTCTTGTTAACTAAAAAAAATAAAATGGAAAAAAATAATTTTTTTAAAATTAATCAGAAATCTTCCGAAAAAAATAATTCACTTAAAACATAAAAAATTTCTATGTTCAATTAAAATAGCATATTCTTCATTTTAAACAAAATGTTTATTTTAAATCCTCTGTAATTATATTCAAATGTCATCCCTACAATATTCAAAAGAATATGAAATTTTTCAAAAAAAATTGATTAACAAATAAAATAGAATGCAGTTTTTAAAATATACTGCCTATTTATTCTTATTACAAATGGTTTTTTTTTAACAATTTCGAAACAAAAGAGCAAATAGCTTAATAAAAACAGGCTATTTAAATAAAAAATTGTAGTACAACAACTTTAATCATTATTTAGAATTTTAACTGAAAAATTTATTGAAGTAGCATTTTTTACAACGTGTGCAAAGCAGCAAATAAAAGCAAAACTTTTCCTATTTTTAAATTTGCTTACAATTTTTACTTCATTTTCAGTTTACTACGAGAATAAATTTGTTTTTAAAAATATGTTTATTAAGTTTTATAAAAACAAAGAAAATTTCCTTTCTGAATTGTAATTAACTATGTCAATAAATTACAGGTAACATTTGTTGAGCTTGCTTTTCTTCGTTTCGTTGTCATGGATATGGGATCCAATCATTTGACAGCTCAGAGAGTTATACCTTTATCCAAACTTAAACAGGGTAATATTTTTAGTTATATTAACGTATTTAATACATTTTCTTATTCATACTTCATAGACTATATATGACAGTGGCATTGATTCATGTACACTCATCAAAAAATAAGTGGATTACGCTGAATAAATTTTGATCTAATAATTGGATCTTTACGTCCTAGGACTTAATGGTTCGAGGGGTTGCCCTCAAATATGCTGTTTCTGAAATTTTTCCGAATTTTTTCTGAAAATTTTAAAGCAATAACTTAATAATTAATTTAAAACTGATCCAAAAGTGTTGTTTAATTTAATTAAGTTATAGCAAAAAAATAAGAGAAAAAAAATAGCTTTTTATAAAAACGTCCATATTTTCATAAATGTTTATGCCAGATTTACGAAATTTTGTGTAATTATTGCATATTTATTTAAGAAATATTTACCCCGACCTGCCCCAATTTAGGGCATACAGGTAGTAATTATTGCATATATTAACCAAAATAATTGTTACAAGTTACGAACTTATTGCTATTTTTTTTTTTGACATAGTAGGTTTAAAAACACTATTTACCGTTTGTAATTTATTGTCAGTCCCTCAAAACTCTCAAAGCTTTAAACTTTATTGATATATATGAAAAATCGCACGATATAAATATTTTTGATTTTATAAAATGATTCCTTAAGTATTTCTTGAGAAATAGAAAAAAAATTATTAATATAGAAGTGTTTCCATTATTTGTCCACCCCCTGTAGAACAGAATTACATGAAAGGACACCATTCATGTGAAAGCTTTCCATTGAATAACTGTTAAAACCAAAAAAGAAAAATTATTTGTAACATTTACAAATACATTTGGGCCCTAGAATATCTAATTAAAAAATATTTAATTACTCTAAAAATAGAAATATTAAAAAAAATTTCAAACAGAATTGCGCAGAACAGTAAATATAGACTTATCTTCTATATTTCATATATTTGATCTTCGAGAAACAAACAATACTTTTGTTTTATGAAACAGTAATACACAGAAAAGCTCTGACATGAATGCATGCTAGGAGTTCTTTAAAGAAGCTCAGTATTGCATTCCTGTTTCTTTGGTTTTAATTTTAATTAAAATTCTTTAATGTGTTTATAAATTTAATATTACATGCTAATAATTATAATACTTTCAATACATAATAGTCTGAAGTATAACACCATAATCAATTATAATACTTTCAATACATAATGGTCTGAAGTATAACACCATAATTTGGATCAATTTTTCTTACTGTAGAATATTTTTTGAAGTGCATGACAAAATTCATGCTCAAAAAAATCATTTTGATAGACAAGCGTATGATATATTTTCCGAAAATGTATCATTTCCTTCATAAAAGAAAAAAAAAGTTAAGACTGATCTATATATAATGCATAATGTATCATTACCTTCGAAATGTATCATGTCCTTTGTAAAAAAAAAAGTTAAAATTTATCTCTACGTAATGTATATTCTCACATTTAGGTTATCGTCACTTGAGACTAAGAAGTCCACAAAATCAACCATTACCAATATCTACTCTTTTTATTTATTCCACGTGGGAAGAAGAAGGTCTTAATATACCAGAGAAGGATGCCACTGGCCCACCATCGAAGGTTTTTATCATTTTCATTATTTACAAATTAGTATTAATATTTATCATTTCTATTTGCCTAACTAATACGTTGCTTAATTCCATGCATTGATTTATACGTCATCATCAATCGCAGTTTAAAATTGAAATTTTAGCAAACTTTTATAAAATTGTAATTATTGTAAATTGTAAAGTAAATAATTTACGTTGCAAAATTTGGCTATGCATCACAACACTTTTGCCACTGAGAGTTTTTGTTTTCTTTTTCCTTTTTTTCAAAATAAAGGGTCAGATTTTTAATTTTTTTAAAGAAAGTGACTGCAACTTTGATAATAAAAGAAAGCTTTGAACAATTCAGCTTGAAAGATTTCTTTATTAAAAAAATATTATTATACCGAAATTATTATATTTCTATTCCATGTATTTCCTAGCATAAACATCAAGTCTGCATTTTTATGGGACAGTATAGCGATTTTTCACTTTTTTAGCCTTTACCAGTGAAGAGAAAAATGTTTTTCCTCGTCGTATTTGACGTTGTACCTGATCAACCAAACACAATACTTAAAATTACTCAAGAAAGCACAACAAGAGACGTTTTAATTCAGGTAAGATAATATTCTTACTTTCATTATTTTCAAGGATAGTAATTTATCGTTTAAATGTCATTTCAATTTCCATCTTTTAAAATGACATCAAATGTGTTTGTCAAAGATTTCTGATGAATAACTTTTGATCTAACAATCGGGTTTTCATGTTCTAAGGTATAGCGCGAGGAGTAGACCGTTAAAATATATTAACTAATTAGAGAAATAGATAATTTGAGATAGAAAATCAGACAGAATCTCCTCTATGTACACACCTTCCAATGAGGTAACCTAGTCGCGATGGCTGGTCATTATGACTGGTCGATATGGCTGGTTGATATGAACCCGGTCCAGTGTACACCTCCTTGATGTGTGCCTATGCTGTATCTGCGAGAACTTCAGTACAGCGAGGGAAGAAGATAAGTACATCCAAGGTCTAACAAAGGTCTTATGAGCACCAGGACAAAATTTATTGAGGTTCCCATCCTCAAAACACAAAAGGCCTCATCTTCATATTTTGTAGAATGTTTGAAGATCCTTTGTAGTTTTTATACAAATATAAAGAAATCATCTGCCTTTTTCTTTTGAAAAACATTAGTAAAAATTTTATTTTTTGTATTAACTTTCGTGGGGGCTCTTAGCCATTCCGGGGCTCGGGACAATTGTGCCCCTCTTGAGTGCAGTCTTGAGTACATCACATATAAATTACATGCATAATTTTCTTATACAATGGAAATGTCTACTACATTTTGATTGAATTTCTAGTATTTCATAATTTTCCATAGAGTTAACACGTGTATCCGGTTTTACCCTGCTACTGGGTAAATTTGATATATGAGTGGTTTGACTTTTCTTAGAAAAAATCTTTTACATAAAAAGGATTACATCTGAGAGTTTTTAAGAATGATATATTGTATACAACTATACAATAATATCTTAGTTAAATCAGATAGTTTCTAAGTCGAACAGTTTAGCTCCAGCAGGCCTTTGAATCTTAACTACCTGGTATTAACCTACTTTCCACTATATTTCGGTAGCCTTATCTTTTTTTTCTTATTTTCTTATAAAAATTGAATGGAGTGTAGTTGTTTTTAAATATGTTTCATCTTAATTAATGTTTGTACTTTAAATGACGCTTGACCGTTAATAAAACATATTTTTCTGAGTATATTTTTTAAAAAATCATTTAAAAAAAAATATGTTTTGCTGTGTCTTATAAAAGTATGATTTGGTTAAGCCTCATTTTTCTAAACTGATTTCGTTTAGATATATGTTTGTCCAACTCTGATAATTGAGTGATTTATTAGGCACTAAGTAAACGTAATAGTACAGATAGTGTGGAAGATTTTGTATTAATTGAAGAAGTACAATCTGGTTGGGAAAAGAAAAGTACTGGAAAAAGCCGTCGCATTCTTGATATGAACGAAAGACCGCTGGAAGCACAAGCAAAATGGAAAGGAGAAGGCCGATTTATTTTGAAGAAGTTGACGGACGTAAGTTTTTGTCTATTACAAAACATTCATGTTCATTCATTTCATTTTCATGTACATTCATTTGTTCAATCTCAATGAGTAGCTGGTAGTTAGTGGTCTTTTAACACCAAAAATGGTGTCAACTACTTAACACCAAAAGTGCAGTTCTGCAACTTAACTGGTGTAAAAAATTAAGAGAATTTGCAGACTCTATAACTACTGGACCGATTTTAATGAAATTTGATCTGTACATATGTTGATACAATACAAAACAAATTCAACAATTGTAATACAGTTGCATGATCGTGCGTAACAGGTCAGCAGTTTTAGAACTAACAAAAAAAAATGGGTTAATAGGGACCCCTCTTACAGACCTTGCGGCGTGATTTCATGCTTAAGATAAAGAAGTTTATCGCTTCTTGTGGCAATTTCATGCCTTCCGACTTCAATGAGTGTTACGCACAATCATGCGTGTGTATTACAATTGTTGAATGGTTGTTTGTTTTGTATTGTATCAATGTATGCACATATCAAATTTCATTAAAATCAGTCCTGTAGTTCTAGAGATAAAGTCTGCAAATTCTCTTAATTTTTTACACCAGTGTATTTCTTTGCAATACCTTGTGCAAAGCAGTAGTCGGAAAAAGCTACATAATTTGTGTAGTTTACTACATTTGCAACTATTTTGCTACAAAATTTGTAGCGACTACTTCTCTACTTTAAGAAATCGAACTTTGTTGGAGAAATTGATTTGCGCATTATGTTCAAAATGGTTTTGAATAAATTAAAATTGACTTATATTAAGCATGAATTATTTAGAAATATTTATTCATTTTTACATGAGCCATTTTGTTGTTCTGAAACATTTTTTTTTCTATTTTAATTGATTTAGTCTTCAACTTTTTATGCCCTTCTTGACAGTGAATATTTAATTTAGGAAATGCTAGGAAATTATCCTATAATTGCAATTTCGTTAAGTGCGTGTTTAATGTTCTTTTATTTCCTTTCTTTGAAATAACACTGATTTACTAGTGTACATTCGCATGTGAAAGTGTAACTAAAGTGATAAATTGTCTATTATTTATAATGGTTAACTTAAATATTAGTTATATGTGACTCTATATACCCAATATTTGTTAACTCACAGAACTGGGGCATTTGAAATTGCTTTCTTTGACAGACCCGCGAAGATTTGTAGTCATCAAATTCGAAAAGTTGTTGCGTTGGAACCCTGTTCATATACTAAACGAACATAAAAGTAGTCAAAGTCAAATCTCTACAATCTCACTAATGGCCAGAAAAGAAATTAATGAAATACTTAATACCTAGTTTTTATTTGAGGAAAGAAAATCTTACTCCCACTTGCTTATTTTATTTTTTTTCTTCTTAATCCTGGAACAGATATACTTCACAACGCGAATTGATAAATTTACACAAATAGTAATTTGGAAACATTTGCTACTATTTTTCATTTATTTCATAAATTTGAGTCACCCTACTGTACTAATTAGTAGGTTTTCATGCAATGAAAAGCAGCAGTGTGAGTGATGCTTGCATAAACCAGTTACTACCAATGCCAAAAAATATCCCATTTTTTATGCCAAATGTTCGTTTGTCTTTGTAGACGACCTCCTTTAATTCACACAATTTTCGGGGGTTATTTTTCTAAGCTAAATCGAATGCAATGAAAAATTAATAGGTTTCTTCAGAAATATTGCGTTTTTGCGTCAAGTTTGTTCAGAAATAGTGGGTCAAAATAAGCATACTCTGAAACAGTTACAGCTAACTGTTATACATATTTCAGGAGATATCATCAAGGAACTCATTCGAAAGGTGTTTCTCCCTCTTTTATTATATCAGAAACAAAGATTGGTGTAGTCAAACACTCTTTTAAAATACTTGGTATTAGTCACCATTTTTGAAATTCAGTCAAACTAAAATATAGAATTACTGTAAGATATGATACACATAAGAATCAGTAAAGTTATTTTTTTGCGATGAAGTAAGAATCATTAATTTAAGGCGCATATACAGTCCCTGGACAAGACGCACTCTAGGATTCTACGTAAAATCTTAATTATCAGGTGGTACTATACAGCTTTATTGTTTTTTTGGGACTCAAACCGGTTTGCACTTGTTTACGTTCGTGTATCAATTTGTTAATTTAAGCGCTATATAATATAAATTAGACTATAGAATATTTAATATATCAAGTATTATATTGTAATAATTAGATCAAATTATTTGACGCGCTGTAGTTTTTAAATAATGACATGTTTTGCACGAGTTTATAGGCAATATTTTTCTATTTAAGCATACATGTTATTCGGGAGATACTTCCTATTTGTATTTATTTTTAGCATATTACATTACAATGTTGATACACGAACGTAAACAAGTGCAAACCGGTTTCAGTCGCGTAAAAACAATAAAGGTGTATAGTATCACCTGATAATTAAGATTTTACATAGAATAGTCTAAGAATTTGGCCAGACACTGTATATGCAGTCATTTTTAAAATAGAGTTAGTTTGTTAATCAATCATACACTCACATAGCACAGAGAGAACGTTAAAATGAATTCAAACCAGAAGCGAATAGAAATTGATTATGATAAAATTATTGAATACAATCGCAGATTTATGTAAATCTTTTTATAAGTGGATCTTTTTCATACGTACCAGCATTTTATAACAGTTTACTTCTGATTCTTTGAAATAGGCAGAGTAAGGGCGAAAAAAATTTTATCTTCCTCTCGCGCTCGATAGTAAATAATCAAAATTTTTCATCTAATGCAGGGATGGGCAAACTACGGCCCGCGGGTCAACTGTGGCCCTCTGGAAGGTTTTTTCCGGCTCGCGGATAGAATTTTTATTTGCCGATCAGTGGCAAATATAAACAATATACATCCATTTTCTTGTCGACTATGTTTAAAATTATTTCTGTTTTTACTTTTTCAATAAAGTACTGATGAAGTATTTGCTTTCTCTATTTTTGTTCCACAAAACATAAATTGATGGAAGTAGTTAGCTCAGACAGCTTCAATTGGTAAAATGTTGAAAGCAGAAGTTCTTTATAGAATAGCCGTAGATTGACTCCAACTAGCGCTTGTCTCTCTCGAGGAGCTGACTTATGGAATCTAATATAGGTAAATTGCACTTCACATTTGGCAGACTGCGCATTTTCCGCTCCAAAGAGCGGACAATCTAACAATCATCTGAAGCGCTGTCTTATAGATCTCGCCTAAAAGTTTCTCCCCTACCTGAATGATTGAGGAGGTGGGCGGAGGAGCTCTATTGAAAAACCGCACCTGTTCCTGTAGATGATTACTCGCCAAATTTTTATGATGCCAATGACGATAAAGGGTCTCAAATGGAAAACCGATTTCCCTCCGTTTTGAGAGACATAGTTGATTAATTCTTCCTTTAGTGGGAGAGTGAAACTTGTGGAATTTTTCGGATACGCAAGGGATTTTTAGGGATTTGAGTTAAAACATTACACGACATTTCCGAGTGTTTTTTTATGGGTACCGTTCAAATGACAAGGGGGGGGGTGTACTCCGATGCTAACTTTTTGAAGATTATCTATACATATCGTGTGTCTTCGTGCATTTTTTATACTTAAATTTGAAGGGCATACTGCATTGCATTATCCGATTGAAAATGCTGGGAATAATCAAACTGTAGCATTTGCTTTTTTATTTTTTTTTTGAAACCTCAAAATGATAGTAAAAAATAATCAGTATACCACAATGATAGTTATTTATGGAATTCAAGTGAAGATGCTACCGTTCATAAAAAGGTGCTTTATGAATAGTAACATGATATTACCATAAAAGATGCTTTATGATTAAAATTTTCTTACTATGTNTTTAGTTCGCAAGTCTGTATCACGGCTTGAATATCAATACATAGAAATAGTTTCAATCATTATCCCATAAAATCTTGAGAAAAATAATTATTTTTTCTAATTATGTTTTTACGGTGCAGTTACTATATTATGTTAAATTCTTATATGTGTTGCATTTTCAAACCTCATTCATACAGACGATAAATTTTATGGTTTAAAATTATTAATCATAATAGTAATAACATTATGATCGATTTCATTAAATTTAATTGACGTAATAATTGTACTCAATGAAAAATTAGATTTGAACTACAATTAAAAAAATTCTTAAAGATTTCAAATATTTATTTAATGCGATTGTTAATAACGACTTCCAATGCTTAAAAAAAATGTTCTGATAATTGAAATTTTATAGTTTATTTAAAATTGCAGAAACACTACATAAATCTATTTCACTTCGCTAGACAAGATAAGCTATTCATGAAATGGTGGTAAGTCAAGGTCAAGCTTCTTTCATTCTTAGAAAATTTTCCCTCTGATAGCTGAGACTTTTTCCCTCTCATGACTAAGACTTCGATTATACACTTGCGGACAGGAAAAATCCTTCTTCATACCAGGAGAAATAGTAACCTTGTTATAAGAAAAGCGCCAAGAGAAATAAACTATATCATGCCAAGAAAGTATTAAGCCAAGCCCGTTCTAGGGGGGCTTTTTAACGCACCTGAAAGCAATTATCCTTATCTTGACAGCTTAACTTTAGGCGAGGTCTACAATGAACCATCTGAAGCAGTCGTTTCTAAATACTATTCCAAAGTTTTACAAATCATTACCAAAAGCTAGTTTCCGAAATTTAATATTTCTTGCTCAGAAAATCAGTGCATGTTTGCTTAATCTTATATATGTGAGCAAGAGTTTTCAACTATGAACCTTAGAAAAAATCATTTCAGAAGTAGACTAACAGCAAAGCAGTTAGCCTTGTTCCTTAAAATAAGCATATCTCACTTCCAACCTTAATGCAAGGAACTTTTAGAAATGAAATCGCAATTTCCTTCATCTCACTAAATATTTAAATTAAAACTTGCATATCACCTTTTTTTCTTAAATTTTGAAGTTTTTACGTGGCCCACCAAACATTTTTTTTTTCTTGATTTTTGGCCCCTCGACCAAAAAAGTTTGCCCATCCCTGATCTAATGATTTCCATAAATTCACTAACATAGGAAAAAATAATTCATTAATGGAGTAAATGCGTATGATTTTTGGTGCAAAATTTTTCCAATTAGTATAATAACTACACCCTTAAAAGTGAGTATGAATGCGGGATACGGTATTAACTTAAAATAAAGCATTCATTCACAGAATTCAACACCTAAGTTAGATAGGTATTGCACCACAGTTTTTGTTATATTCAGCAAAATGAGCTCAGTTTTTTTGAAAAATTGTAAAAATGTGCATTAAAAACAACCCAATATTTTATTGTGAGATTAACAAGTAAAGTGAATGTAATTCGCCTAGGATCCGAGTACTAGAGCATGGATGAGCACTCTCTGTGGAACGATACATAAGGTGAGTAGTAATATTTCATTCTTTGATATGAAGTCATTATTCTGGCTTTGGTTACAGTTCTGTGTTTCTAGGTATCTAGTGGAAATGAAATTCAGGGCTGGACAGATGGTAAAGAAGTTTTTTTAGTTTGCATTTACAACGTAGCTCCTGATCAACCTTATGCTGTTTTAAAAGCACCTGTTACAAGTACGGCTCAGGATATTATAGCGCAGGTAAAGGTTTAGTGGATAGCTTTAGAATGCTTACAAAATATTCTCCCGATTTAAGTTATTTTCGTATGCCTCTTTTCTTACGAACATTTTGCTTTTTTCGAGTTAAACCTATTTTTAGCCACTATGCTATTCTGAAAATAGCGCCAAAAGACAGTTTGAAAAAAAAAGCCACAGTTTTGTAAAACTTAAAATCGTTTGTTATCTAACATTTCAATATTTAAGAAGTTATTTTAACATTATAGTATCTGGACTTGTAGAAATTTTCAAAAATTGAGAATTATTCATTGATTTTGATAATTTCTATCTAGGTGGAAAAATCTCGCTAAATTGGCGACTATTAAATGAGTTCAGCTGTTTTTAAGATATTCAAATTAATTGTCTGTTTGAGAACCAGAATAATTCATTAGGTTTCCCATGCCTCAAGTATAAGGCACTTAAATTATGGGTTTTTTTTTCTTTTTTTTTTTTTTTTTAAGTTTTCTTGGTGAAAGAGCTCAGCGTGTTGAAGATTTTTTAAAATAGATTTTTTTAGGTATGATGTATTAGATGAAATATTTTTAAGCTTTTTGTCTAAACTTTTAAAGATTAACTAAATCTGTTGTAAACTTATCTTAAGTTGTTTTTATTAAAAATAAAATATAAATCCATTTTTTCCTCCTTTTTTGCTAAAATGTCACTTAAGTGATATCGTTTGTGTACATTATACTCTTGAAAATTATGAAAAATATATATTAACACTAATTGTTATCTATTCATAGACTGATGGATGTTCATTTCTAAGCAAATTATGCCATTTTTGCCCTTGACACAATCTATAATCACGGTATGATCAAATACTTAGACCTTAACATAGTCATATGCTATACTGGAGAAGTTAAATTTTTTTACAGATTTAGATAAAAATTAGCTTAAAACTTAAGTTATTACTTAGTATTTAACTTAATACTTAAGTTAAATACTTAAGTTACTGTAAGTTATTCTTAGATGAGGGATAGTCTTTCAATCAAAAATATTTTTAGATGAGGGATAGTCTTTCAATGTAAGTGTTTCTTAGATGAGAGATAGTGTTTTAGTGTAAGTTATTCTTAGATGAGGAATATTGTTTCAATGTAAGTTCTTCTTAGATGAGGAATATTGTTTCAATGTAAGTGTTTCTTAGATGAGAGATAGTGTTTTAGTATAAGTTATTCTTAGATGAGGAATAATTAATTTCTTTCTTCTAGGCTCTGATGAAAGCGAGACGCATTGAGAATCCAAATGAATTTGTTTTACTTGAAGTGCGGCCAGGGTCAGAAGGACGGGTGTTAGAAGATTCTGAGAATGTATTCTTAGTACAACAGAAATGGAAAAGCAAGGAATGGTTTGATATGAAAGAAAAAGAACAGGTAATAATCTCTACTTCTTAAGTGTCAAGAATCACTATCAAAATATGTCGAATGAATAGTGAGAAAACTCTTTTACAATAATCTTTTAAAAGGACGCCATACAACGGAACAAAATTTTCCTCCTTTATTTCTAATTTAAAATTTGAAGTTTAGTTTTAAATACTGAAAAGAAGTTTCAAATACTGAAAAGAAAATTATAAAATATACAAAGGAAAATAAATTATTAGGAGATCGGTGAAGTTCTCTATGAATAATTTGTTTGCATTTTAATATATTGAAGTATTTTTTTCAGTAACTGAAACTGTGACTTACTCTAGGACTTCTGCTGATTTACTTCAGCAACTATGACTTACTCTAGGTTTGCCTACTTTATCTTTCTTTTGAATTTTAAATTAGTAATGAAGGAGAAACGAAAATTTTCTTACGCGATATGGCGTCCTTTTAAGAGGGTGTTATAACCTTTTGCTTACGGCTGCTACAATATGTGGACCAGAATAACATAATCATGATCAGCGCCGTAAGCAAAAGGTTAAATCAAAACTTTTCAGCAAAAAATATAAATTTGACATCAAAATTTTGTTGATACCTCAAAAACTTACAAAGTTATTAATTTTTATTCTAAATCACTGTCCGACTAGCCAAAACTCTTTTTTCTTAAAATCAATATTTTGAGCTTTCGTGTAAGATATTTGTACAGTATCAGACTATCGCCGGTGGCTACACCCGGTGGCAGAGTGGTAGCGCTTCGCCCTCCCGTGCCACAGGTCCTGGGTTCGATCCTCGGGCCGGGCGAAGTTGTCTCAGCCTTCAATCCCTTCAGTGGGTCGATAAATGAGTACCAAGCATGCTTGGGAACTAAACACTGGGGGTTCCGCGTTCAGCTGACCACCTGACCGGAACATCTGCACCTGCACCCCAGAGCCCAAGGTCAGGAAAACTGAGAAGGGCACAGTAGGCCTTGGCCCTCTATGGGCTGTCGTGCCACTGAGTACAGTTTTTTTTTTCAGACTATCGCAGCTACAGCCTAAAATTTTGTGTATGCTTAAGTTACAACGATGGATTTATTCGATTAAAGTAAATTTTACGATTTCGAGTAATATTATAATATTAATTAATTTATATAAAACGATTAGTTTTAAAAAAGTCAAGTTTGATAATTTTAAAAAGTTTAAAAAAATATTTAGTTTCATAATATATCTATGAATTTAATTCAATAAGTTGTTGTAAAAACAGGTAGTTCTAAACATTTTAAAGCATTTTGCGCTGTGCGCAAAATGATGGTAACCGTTAAAATGAAGTAGATATATTTAAAATTTTTGAATCTGTAAGAAATAATTAATTTTCAAAATTTTATAACTCGAGAATATCTATTTATATATATGTTCCTACTTATAGATATTTATTGATATTTCTAAAAGAATCTAAATTTTAATAATCTTTTTTTAAACGAGACCCCTTTACGTCTCCTTCTTATCTTCAGCAATCAAACAAGTTTTGATATTTTCAGCCCTCCCTACGTCATTAGGGATTTTGATAGCTTTTTCCTATTTTCAACGCTGAAATAGTAGTTTTCGTATTTTTGACATTATTTTTAAAAAGTTTTTTTTAACAAAATATACTAATAGCGGTAATTTCTTCTAATAGTGAACTGTAAACGATATATTTAAACTTTTTATCGTTAAGGAAAAAGTAATAATCATATTTTTTTAAGCAAGCCGACTTTTCCGGCAAATATTGCCCAGTATCGAATTTACAGTCCAGCAGAGAAATGAAACATCTGATTTCAAAATTAGAAAGGCTGATTGAGGAATAAAATAAATGGCATTAGATTTACAAAATCTGTCAATATTGATACAAAAATTTTGTAAATTAGTTACAAAATTAGCCAACAAATGGCGCATATCCTCATTGAAAAGAGCGACCAGTTTTAGCGTTGAAACCGGATTAGGAGGTACCGTATTATTGTCGTACCGGATAAAAAGGAACTATGTACTCTGTGTGAAACATCGGTATCTGGTATACTAAAATAGATTTCAGGCATTTATATTCTTTTCGAGATCTCTGTAAACTGTTTAACACGAAAAGTCCAGTATTTTCCCTCTCTCACGATAGATTTTACCAGTAGATAAACTAATTAAACCACATCCCACAGCTCATTTGACAAAGCACTACTCAACCAAAACATAACTCTAGTGTCCATAACCTAACGAAAAGATCAACGGAAATTGTCATTACCTAACGAAAAGTCTAAATTTCATGTCCAGTCAAATTTCCTTTTTAGAATTTTGAAAACCATTCTAGTTGTAAATGGTTTTAAAACCGCAAAAGTAAAAAATATTCTTAACTTCGCAGTTAATTGGATAAAAAAAGATCTACTGGTTCTGTAATTTTCGGATAAATTTCTAAGAGTGTGTGCATTAAATTCTTTTTGATAGGTTATCATAACTTTTACACATTATATATATTATTAATAATTATAAAAGATATTATTATATCTTTTACTCAGAAGTTCTTCTTTCTCATGATGAATAAATTTTGTTTTTAGCTAAAACACGATAAAATCGTTAAAAAGAAATCTGCTTTCAGCAAATTCAGACATTCAGAAAGAGGTAAGACAATTTTCTTAACTGTTATTTTTAATTATTGGAAATAAAAATCAGCACTAATTTTTAATTTAAAAATCTGAAACTGCAGTTTGTATGCATATAACTGAATCTCACATATATCTCCAAATTGTTTATTAAAAATATCAATTATTAGTGAAATGGTTCTGTTACTTTTTATTTCAGGCTTAAAATGTTATTTATATTTCTGTTTTAAAAAAGTAACTGGTTGATACAAAAAAAAAATTGTTTAAAGCGATTTTCTTCCTGACCCTAGACAAAACTTTTTTTCTAGCACAAAGAGGCCGCTAAAATATAACATAAGTCTGTTTTTTAACAACTTTGGATACCTCATTTGTTAGTAAGTAGCTCGAATAAATGATGTAAATTTACCTTAAACAAAATTTACGATTTAATTCATCTCAAATTATTTTGAAACACTTAAAATAAATTTTTTTAGACTTTTCGTTTCCCACTTCTTTTAAATTTCAATTTCAACTTCTTACGAGTTTGATTTCTTCCAAATCCTTTTTTTCTTTCTTTTTCTGCATTTAAAAGACTGAAAACAAGTAGAATTTATCAAGGCATTGCATACAACACTCCATCCCCCTTGTTAATAAAACTAAGCAAATCGCAAACCCTTTCACGCCCTCAAGAGGTTAAAAAACAAAATCGAGTTTAAATATATACAAAATAAGCCCAAAATAAGACAATTTAAACATTATAAATCATTCGTATTCGCCACTAATTACCGTTTTAATTGAAATACCCCTTGTCTTGAAAGGATGATTTGGCAAAAACGAGTCAGTAGAAAATAGCAAATAAAACTTTATTTTCACAATAAATACCTTCTGAAGCAATTTTTTTCAAAACAATGATATAAAAAGTGATCTATTTTTACTTTATTTTAAAACCGTCGTTAAACAGTCGACCCAATTTCGGTTTACGGCTACTAGTGTTCAACTCCGCAGACTTGTAATTTTGAACTCAATTCAGAAGACAAAGGAACGTTTGTGAAAAATGTAAGGGAGGCACTGTTTACAAAAGGCCAGGAGCTATATTCTGTTCATCGAGAACTGATAGCGTAAGCAATCGAAAAGATTTGCTGTTTATCGCCAATATTCTGCCGCTTTCTCGCTTAGTCGGGGAGGGATTCTTTTCATATTGATTATTATTCAAATTAGTGCTATTTGTCATGATCTTAGCACCAATCAGCCAGCTAAAGATAATATTTACTTTGCTTAATTTCATTGTCATTTCTTGTTGAGCAGAGTATAGAGTCAATGATTGGGGGTATTTGAAAATGCCAACAGAGCAATTTAATCGAAACGACCCTGTAAATATTCTTGTGGAGTTATTCTGTTGCCCGACAACACTAGATCACATACAGCTAAGACAATAAAGGAGCTTTGGTAATTATATCCTACACTGTTGAAAATTCCGAACCACGTTGCACCATAAATCGGTATTCATTGGCTGGCTGCATAAATGGAGCTCATTTTTACCAAATTTTGGTATTTTTACAACTTCAAATATCAATAGAAGGTTGCACCAAAAGTAGGTGTTTTGAACAAACAAAACACCGATTTTTATTCTTTCTTTTATAAAAGCGGGGGAAGATTGCACCATAATTAGGAGTTTTAAAAGATCTCAAATGCCAAGGTTGCTATTTACCCTAACAAAATTATTTATCGTAAGTAGGTTATTTTATGATATACCTTATGGTGAAGGTAGGTTCAGGGTGCCATAGATATGTTGAGATGGTGGAATATTAAGGTGTGGGTGGAAGCTTGTACAGTATAGTGGGCCAGTTGAGGAATATTAACAAATTGAAGATTGTGAAGAAAACAGAAGATGATGAAAATTAACAGTTGAACCGGATCAGAATTAATAAAAAGCTTTTATTTCATATAGTTGCAGAGCTCGAGATACAAGATATAAATAATATTCAAAGGAATTTCAGTTGAATAAGTTTTGCATAACAATATTAAAATAGGACAGGCCATGGGAGACAAATCCCCACGACCTGCCTAATTAAGAGCCAAATTAAAAAAGTACGTGTAATTTGTTCCCAACGGACACCGAAGCATGGGTAGGAGATCCAAAATTGGCGAATTAACAAAATATAGCCAAAACAAAGCCAACCAGCATATCAATATTGGGGCTGAAATAATACCTTGGCGATCACGAGTCGCCAACAAATTTATGAGAATTATTACAACCATGCAACTGAAACATTTTTGCGGTTAGAAATTAGAATTAAAAAGTTATAAATAGATTTTTGTTTTGATTAGAGGCGACAGTGAATTAATAAGTCTGCATTAGTAATGAAATAAAAAGTATCCGTTACATTGATCTATAAGAGAAGGATATATATTATATGTTCATGTTCGTTTTTAAAAGGATAAGTCTTTGATTTATTTTAAATGTAATTCTATTAATAAAAGAAAGCTTAAGTAATGAAAGATATTTTAAAAGATAGAAAATAAATATGTAATGCCAATTGTGGCATCACATACCTCTAACCATTTTATGCAACCAACTAAATTTAAAGAAGTAACTTAAAAGAAATGAAGTTTAATTAATGCAAATAAAACATTTGCCTATCGAAATTAGTTGATACTTGAAACAACATGCATGAGTCGTCACGATACACCGAATCCGAGTTGTAAAGAAAACAAGGCGCCGTAAACATATATCGTTCAGTTTACAGTCACCGTCAGTTTTGTGCCTTTTACCAAATTTTGGTGCAGTCAGTTGCAGCGTGGAAGTATTCCTCGATCATACTTCACAATTTATGGTGTAACTAGAATAAAATGATCTTTCATTTAATTAAACTTTGGGATAATGAGAAACTTTGCACCAAATACTGGTAAAAAAGATTTACCGAGTTTTTTTTTACAGTGTATTATGGCTATTATTATTCATTGAATAGGAATTCTGAAATTAACATTTAAATTAGGTGATTTTTCTCGTATCCAGTGATTGGCCCGAACAGCAACAAATTTAGTTATCAAACGCAAAGGGAAACTGATCATAAGCCTTTGACGCAGATTTTTTATTAAACATATTTTCATTATTTTGAATTAATTTAGGTCAAAATAAATTTAAAAAATATTATATTTAGCAATTTAATAATTTATTGTTATGAAATACGATATGTCTTTTTCTGTGTTGAAGGTAAAATCTTCTAAGAAAATCTTTTTTTCAAATTTGAAGTTATTTATATTTAAAAGAACTGTTATTCATTGTTGATTTTTTTTTAATTTTCAAAATCAATTATTGACAGATTTTTCAATATGAATGAAAAATAAAACATTTTCAAACTATTGTTCTTTATATTTTAGTATAAATATGGATTCCAATAATCTAAATAGATGTTTTTAGTAACTATTGCACTATTTTTATAATTAAAAAGTACTAAAATATATTTTTGCTTGTAATTAGAGAGTCAGAAAATAAAATGTATAAAAGGAACATCGGCGTACCATCTGCGTCAATGAGTTAACTACTGTTGACATTACTTTTGATATTGTATTTATTGAAATAGACTGGTTATTAATTGACAGTATAAATTGATTTATCAATTTCTAACCTAAGAATACACTGCAGTTTTTCTACAGAACTGAAGTAGTTTTTCTAGATTCAGCTGCAGATTTTCTGCAAAAACACTGCAGTTATTTTGAAGCTAATGTGAAGTAAACTATCAGTAATTTATTTCCAAAAAACTTTTAGCTACTGTCTACAAAATTACTGTACTTTAAGTGAAGTCACTTTAATATCATAAATTTAAAAAAAAAACTGAAGCATTAAATTCGTAGTTATTCTGCAGTAAATTTGAAGTAATTATGCAGACAATGTTTCAGAAGAATATTTTTTGATGAATCTGCAGAAAAACTACAGTTACTTTGTATTGTTGTAAAATTGAAAGAGTTTGATGTCTTCAATCTTGCTTTCCTCGTTAGTAAATCAACTTTTTATAATCTTTACGTCTTTTTTAATGATATATTAATATCTTATATTGAGTTAAAAATTCTGAACATATATATTAATAACGGAGATAACGTACACTGTCTATATTCATAAAAGAAAAATTCATAAAATACATACTTGATTTAATGGTAATTATTGATAGTTCAGAAGGCGTCGAAAACTTTTAAGTAAACTTTTGACACAATTCAATTAGTTTAAAATATGTCTAAAATTAAGTATTTAAATATTTCTGTATTTTAGTCATTTTATTACTAATTTTATTTTTATTAATTTTCATTATTTATTTTTGACTTAATAAAGCTGATTTTGCCCAAAGTTTATGGTAAAAACAATATCAAAGTAAAGGTAAGTAGTTAATGTTAATTAGTTAATTTTTTTTATTCGAATTCTTACTAAACTAGGATTATTGCCGAACAAAAATTATACTTATTTTATCTAATCAAAACGAATTTTTCGTTTGGATTTTAAACAAATTTATATCTAAAGAGATTGCAAAATTGAATTTTAAACTGGATTTCAGCTTCAAACCTCTCCTTCAATAATTTATTAATTTCAGTCTGTTCTTGATTAATCTTGATTTGTCTTAAATTAATTTAAAACAATATGCCTTCTTTATTACTTGAAAATAAAGCTTTTTAAATTAAGCAAATAATTTTGTTTGAAAAAAATAACTCATAGTATTTTCAATTCAACCTAAATGAACATAAGAGTTATAGAACTGCTTACTTTAAAAACTCGTTTAGAGCTTCTTGCTTTTAAAAATTAAACTTAAAAGAAAAGTTACAAAACTTAGGGAGAAAGATACTCAAATCTACATTGTTAGGAATTTTTGGCAAAAAAGGGTTAAATAATAATTCATTTAATTGTTATTCTACAGTGTACCGTTTAGATTACCATAAAATGACGCTATTCAAACTCTGAGAAAATTTATTAACTGTGTTTTCACCTAATATGATTAAACCAACAAAAACTTTATCCGTGCCAAGACGGCATTTAGTTCCTTACTTGTGAGAGGGATAATCAGTCAATCTCACGTCAGACAGGTTGGGAGTTCGAAACCCAGGATTCAATGTGGTGACATATTCACAACATAAACGTTTCACGAGTGTTATACTCCCTAATTTATACATCTGATCATGAAAATAGATCAAATTTCGAAACAAAAACTACAGTTTTTCCGATACGATGGGTGGTACCACTAAATACTGACATTTCTGTACATTTACTGTAAAAAGTTTGAGGTTGGTACTTCTACAAAACTACTGCAGTTTACAAACTGCAGTAATTTTGTAGTGTTTCCACTTCTGTAGCGGAATTGGCCAAATCACCAATGTATTCGAATTGCTTTTTTTCTTTCTAGATTTTCTGCAGTTTATTTTTAGCTGGGTTCTGATTAAACATATTTGTAAGTAAAGGTAAAAAATAATTTTATTTTCTATAATTTATTTTAGCATCAAGTAGTGGATTCCACTCTTCTTGGAGACAAGTACACAGTGAAGGAGAGGATGATTATAGAGAAAGTGTGAAAAGATTTTCGTTAAAAAAACTTAAAACTTGGAGATGACATAAAAAGTGAATGTTCCTATGAGCACAAAATAGCACAGCTTCTTCCACAGAAACTTGTAGAAACAACGCACCACCTATTTATTTTATAAAATATCACAGACAAAGTATAGTAATCATAGTAAAACACAAAGTTTATACATGTAACAACAGAATTTTTTGTACTTTTAAGTCTCCAAAGGAGAATCTTTAAATAGAAAGTATATTTCATAAGCTGTCCTAAAAGGGAAATCTAAAAATTAACATATCAAAAATGTAAAACAATTTTATATTTAAGTGTACATTTTGTTAAAATAATTTTTTCATCTTTATAAATTCGTCATTTCAAAGTTTGAAACATTTTTAAGCCTTTTTTCATAACAGAATTGAAAGACTTGGGGACAATAACGACACCTTTTCAAATGCGCCATTTTCCTTAATATTGTTTTCAGATAAGTACGTTTTGATATTCTGGTATTTCCACCAGATGGCAGCACAATACACCGAAACATCTTATTTGCAACATTAAATTGATTTTCCTGAATTTCCTCCAGATGGCAGCATAATACACCGAAACATCTTGTTTGCAACATTGAATTTTTTTCCTCATTGAAACACTCTTTAAAGAAAACTTAATATTGCGCGACTTAATATTTTGTTGTCCCAAGTCCTGCAATCAAAGGATTTTAATTTTATAATTCTGTAAGAAGGGAATAAACCACGAGACATTGATTATAAGGCAGATATGAGTAAACAATTTAGTAAATTATAAATTAAGTGATAATTATTTACATATTTTCAGTTACAACTTAAAACAAAAGTTCATAAATAAATATTTGTTTTTGAGATGTGATTTTAAAAAATCGTCCGAAATTTCCAACTTGTAATTGTGATCACTTGTATTTAACTTTTATATTTCTTCGAGGGTTAAATCAAGAAAAAAGTTATTGTTAAGAATGAAGTTCTGTAGTGTGTACTGGATATATATTCTTACAATACATATATTTAACTCTGAAAATAATGTTGTGTGTGTAAATAATATTGTTTATATAAGCTTAATATCCTCTATTAATTAAGGAAATACTTTAGATCTCGTAATATAATTTATTTAATGCATGAAAGACTTGAGACGGTAGTTTACAAACAATAATGGAACTGACTATTTTAAAAACAGGCTGTTCCCAAATGACTACCTTTTAGAATCCTTGTCAAAAAACATATGTAAAAATGTATATACATTACGAATTAATATTTAAGTGATGGAAATTCAACGACCTTATTTAATGTCGCTGTTGAGGGAACCGGGACTACAAAATATTAAAGCCTATTTGATTAAGAAAGCAATCGAAAAGGTTTTAATGTTTTGTAGCCCACATTCTTTAATAATAATTCTCCACATGTCAGCAACGTTTTTTTTCTTGACTTAAATATTAATTTGTGACCTGATATTTTATTTTTGATTCTAAAGTCTATATCAAGAGTGGTCATTTAAGAACACCTTGTGTATTTAGTGCTTAAAAACTGCAAATGGGAGAATATTTAAAAACTTTCCTTCAGTTCCTTTTTTTGTAAATTTTTCATTGAAATTTAACTGTTTATACCTCATAAATTGATTATTAATTAAAGATTATTTAAATAATTAATTAATTTATTAATTTAAATAATTAATTAATTTATAAAAAACTAAAATTATTCCTGGTAAAAAATACATTCAGCTCACAAACAGTAAAACAATTCAAATGAGTTATACCAGTTATTTTTAAGACATTATTATATAATTTAATTTAAAACGTTGACTTTTTTCACAAATTATTTTTAGTAACAAAATGTTTCTACTTGCATGTGAGAAAAAATAATTAATTTAAAAATAAAAACCAAAAATATTAATAAAAAAAGAGGCGTTATAACAGATATAAATAACGAATTTGAACTTTTAATGCATTGTCGATAAATTATTTTGTCATATAAAATTCATTACCACAAAAGTATTAAATTGTGCCAAATTACATTTTTGAGCATTTTTTTACAAAATAAAAATAAATTTATTTCATATCTGATTTTTATAAATAAATTGCGTAAATTTTATCATATGTTTTCAATGTCATGAGAAATATTATTGCTTTACCTCTTTCCCTAAAAATACGCATAAATTTATAGTAAATAAAATTTTTAATAATGCCCAAAAATATATTTTTAAAAATGAACATCAATTCAATGATTTACAATTTTATATATTTTTATATATTTTTTATATGTTATTATATATTTTTTTTCAAAAATATTTACAATGATTTATAGTTTCTCTTATTTATTCAGTGACATAATTTTTAATTTTATACTGTAGGAGTAAAGTTTATAGATTTTAATTGATTCTGAAAACATCTGCATATAAAACAAGAAATTATTAAAACAATTGTAAATCACAAAATTTTTTTAAAAAATTTGCACATAATCTTTCATTTAAATTGCATGAATTTTAAAAAAAAAACAAATATAACTATTAATGTTGTGAGTAAATGAAAAATAAGCATCAATTTAAAAAGTGATTTTAAAATATTTCACTTTATATAAGTTTATTTACTTTTAAACACAGTTTGGTGAATTTGTTGTAAAGAAAATAAGTTGTTTACTACAAACTTATTAATAAATATGTTTTAAATATTAAGCATCTTGTTGTTGTGGGTGCAAATGTATACTTTTTTAATTGTGAATAAAACTTCTCAAGAATAAATTCTTGAGATTTGAATGTTAAATATTGTATTTGTGGCATGAAGAAAAATTTCAATGAAATAATCATCAAAATATTCCGAATAAAATTTTATATATTTAAAAAGTTTTGTGTCTCAATACACAATTATATAAAACAATATCATTTAATAGATGTTGCAGTTTCTCAGTTCTATACAAATACTTAAATTACGTTTTCTCATAAACACTGTCCAAAGCATTCGGTGGCCATCTAACGATGATTTTAAATCTTAACTCAACTAATATTAAACTTAAAAAACTTTAAATCAACTAATATTTATTTAGGAGAAGAAAAACATTTTATAGACATGATATTATTTTAAAACAAGTAGTTTAGTTTAAAATATTTAATTATAAAAATGAATAGGTTTGTAGGAAGAAAAATATTTTATGGACATTATGATATTATTTATAAGCAAATTTACTTATCAGATATTAGGATGCTTAAATTCTACCAATATTCTTTCTACATACGAAAGATAATACAAACACTTTATCGTACATTATTCTTTTTTACCATACATTAATTTTCATTTACATAAAATATAGATTAAGATTTTTTGAGAATTATATATAGTCTTCTTCTTCTAGTGAAATAGGGTATTTTTTATCCTTCAAGTGATTACAGTCCTCATTTTAAGAACATCTAATCGAGGAATTCTCCCTTGTAATCCACATCTACATGCCACTACACATGTCTTATACTCTTTGTAAATAGAATAGTGTCTCAAGGTTGCACAATTTTCCCACACTCCACACTTTTCCCCTCTCCGTTTCGATGGTAACGGAAAATCATTTTATTTCTCCACGGCAGAACGTTTCAGTTCGAAGTGGAAATATATTAAAAATCACCAAGATTTGGGGATGCCATGGTAACGAAGAGGAGAAAAGTGTAGAGAGTGGGAAAATCACGTAAACTTGAAGAGCATAATTCCTTACCGAGAGAAAATGAATTATGTGTCTCTGTGGGAGAACTGTATATTAAATTAAAAAGGAAATATTTGAGTTTCCAAGTCTCTAACATATTTTGATTATATAGTTATATTCTACTGATATAGTTATATTCTACTTGATATAGTTATATTCTACTGTGGACAGAGAAAATAAGCTATAATGATAATTATTGAAAAATATTTATGCTATATAGTAACTTTAAGAAATAATCCTTATTCTTATTACAAAGTTTTTAATTCTTATTTTAAAGTTATAAAACTATTTAAGTGAAATTACATAAATCAAAACGCACTTTTGCAATAAGAAAAAAAAATTGTCTTCCATTTATTTTTTAAACTTTCCGACATCTTTCATAAAGCATGCAGGCTTATGAAAGAATTATTATAAAACAAATAACCAACGGCTATTTACATCGATTTTCAGAAAAAATAACTAAAATATAGAATATTAACTAACAATCCTAGTTATTTAAACAGCTGTTTTGTTATTTACTCAAAAAGTAGAAAATTAATTAATTCTCTTGGCTTTTAGATTTCTGAAAAACTTTGGTCCGTATATTTTAATACCTTTAGCGTTTTAAAGGTAAGTTTATCATAATATTTCATTAATAATCATAATAAATAATTTTATGCATTTTATAACTTAAACAAAAATTTCATCTTGCATTTAAATACTTAAACAATAGCATTCTCAATTTTGAAGGAGAAATTTTTAGTTTAGTTATGTTTTAATTTATTGGTAGTGTTTTCATTTTGAATTAGTTGTAGATTCTGTTTGATGTAACAAAACCCTCAAAACACCAGCAATTCTATTATATTTCAGAAATAGAACTTTAACTATAGTGCACTGAAATATGCACGATTTAAAGTGTGAATAAATTAGTTGCAAAAATAAAAAATTTGCACTTTAAAAGCAAAATAATAATAATTATAATAATTTTTATTAAAACTTTCGATTTTTTGGGTTGCTATTTTTACATCAATTTTAGCCCTTATGAGTATCGTTATCGCATCGTTTACCAGCTTAAGATGACAATGTACATTCATGACAATGTACAATGTACTAATCATGACAATGTACATTGAATTTTTACTGCTTGTTTTCATCACTTCATATTTGCTTCTTTGTTAACTTTGGAATGTGTTCGAAAATATTGTCATTTTAAAACTTTTGTTTGACTCAAGCACTTGCTTAAAATTTGTTAACACTCAGTTTACATACATTCAAACAATTGTAATTTACTATTTTTACATATAAGGTTTAAATCATGACACTGTAAAAAAAGGTAGGTTAAACATTAACTATGTACAAATAAAGCTGTTAAACTGTAAATAAAAGCGATTGCTTTAACAAAAAATATTAAGCTCTGTAAAAAACAACGTTAAATAAACAGAAAATGTTAATATTTACATATTATTCTCACTTTCAAATGACAAAAAATAATTAAAAAATATGTCCAAAAATTTGCTTCCCAGAAGGGAATCAATCAAAATTTCTGGTGTTTTTCTCAAACGTAATATAAAAATCTGAGAAATGGCCTAATATGACAAGAAACAACTATTTAAAAACCAACTGTACTGTAATTGGTTCAACACTCTGAACCAATTACAATAAAGTTGTTTCTTTATAGTCACTGTAGTTACAATTACAATATGGCTACTATAGTTACAATATGGATCGATCATCTTAAATTAGTTACAGATGAATATTTGCTGACTCACATTATAAGAAATAAGGAAAAAGAAACGTTCGCAAATGTATATATTTGTATGTTTTATATTAAAATTATTATTGTTTGTTATTTAACGAACAATAGTGGGAGTTTATTATATGACTCTCTTTTTCACACACTTCAATTTGATTTCTGGATGACGAGATTCAAAACCAAACAGGTTTTGATCCCCCGTTCCTTCCAAATGAATCGTAATAATTCGCCACATTTTTTTATCTTGTATGTTTTGTTTTGTTTTTCCTCAGTAAGGCATTAATTTGCGATTGCTATTTTTTTCTAATTGTTAAAAATTAAAAAAAGAATACTTTGATAAGAATTTTAAAAAGACTTGCTTTAGAGGGAAGATTTATAAAGATTTTTTTACTTAGTAAATTTACAATGCTTATTTTACTTGACATTTCCAAGCGATGGCTTGTTATGTTGGAACCTAAGACCTGTTTTGTTATTCAGTAATAACAGTACAACACATTTCTAAAGTTAAACTTACCCCTGGTTATATTTAAATAAAAACTGTAATTTATTAATCATTAGATTATCAGTTAGGATTATTTACGAAAATTAACAAAAACAATTACAACATGTAGAAACACTCTAATAAAATCATTTAAATAACCACATTTTAGTCAACAGTTAAAATAACGAATTTTTGTTATTTTTCAGTATAAATTCTACATCCCCTGATTGTTCATGGACAGCAAACCATAATACCTTGTTGCAACCATAGTACACATGAAAATATGGTATAAACCGACAAAAATCTGTGCTAATAGCCAGAACGTAAATCAAGTTTTTATATTATATTGAAAGTAATAATTTCAAATACTAATAAATAAATATATGCTAATATATAAATATTAAATAATAATGATTATGCTAAAATAAAATGTAAGTTATAGGCAGTAAGTATAGTACTTCATCTATTTTTGTTGCTATTTTATTTTATTTGAGAGATTATCTTTTCTGAACAAATTTTGAAATAGACTTATTGAAATTCTTACATAGTGCAATTATTATTTTAGTTTTTATGTTACTAAATTTGATATATTTTGTTCAGAAGGAAAAATAATAATTTTTTTTTTCAACTCTCAAAAATCTGCATTAAATTCCAATTATAACATTGAATTAATTTAGAGACGGAATGGACACAAGAGAAAAGGCATTAAAGTTTTTATATAATACAATAAAAAGAGTTCTTGCACTTCTAAGTAATTCAACTTTAAGTTTGCCTTTTTTCTGTAAGGTAATTATAACATAAATAATTATTAGATATTCGTTTTCTCTTTTTTCGAGAAACTTAACAACTAAAGAGTTAATAGCTTTTGCTAGCATGCAGTGATCTATATTTTGAGTATAGTTATGTATTAATAGGGCATTTTATTTTTAAAATTTGTTGATTTATGCAAAAAAAGAAGTAATTTAATATTTAACATTGACTATTATATATGAGAATAATAATAGTGATACCAATACATAAATGCAACTTTTTATATTTTTAACAGTTTTCGAAACAGCTTTTGACGTAACGGTTTTATCTATGGTTGAAACAGTCAGAAACTTGCCAACCATGAATCATAAGAAAGTTATCTCGTATTATCGTTCAACGTACATATTATACTATGGTTTGAACAAAAATATGGTTTAAGTTTGCAACAAATTTGCACTATGTAGACTGATGTTATGATTCAATCTTTAAGGACGTGTCGAGATATTGTTACGCAAATATACAATTTTTAATATATTTTTATCACAGAATTTGCTTCAAAAAAAATCCTTCGGGTTGGTTAGTTCTATGATTTTGTTGAGAAGCATGGTATATTAATTATGATAACAACATTCCATTTCCATCAGGATTGTTGTCATTTACAGAACGTCCATATTTTTTTGTCTTTTGTTTCAAATGAACTTTCGCGTGACGTTTTTTTTCGTCACTTCTGGCAAATTTTCTCCCACATATATCACATGAAAAAGGTTTTTCTCCAGTGTGTGTGCGTATATGTGTAGTTAAATGATCGGATCGACTAAAAGATCGCATGCAAACTTGACATTGGAATGGTTTTTGTCCAGTATGAATTCGAATGTGCCTCGTTAATTCATCGCTTCGGGAAAATCTTCTGTCACAGGGATTGATTGGACAAGCGTATGGCCTTTCATGAACTGGTGTCTTACTAGGGCGATTAGGATATTTCCGTGGCTTTACTGGAAGAAGTTTGAGTGGAACTGGACTGTTCTGGTAAGCTTGATTTAATATCTCATGCCCTTTACTTGTAGATTGATTGTATTCCGCAAGTGTGGCTGACCCTCTTACAGATACCGTAGAATCTAATTTAAATGGCGTTTCAGACACACTAGGACAAAGGTCACTTTGGGTCCATTGTTGTTTCGTTAAAAAATGCAATTCATCTGGACTAGGATTTATGAGTGATTGTGCTGATGAGGTGGTAAAAAGGGCATCTGTTGTAGATATGGAACATGAGCTATACATTGGGGGATCGAAATGTGCATTTAAGTGCAAAAGCAACTCTTGCGACATCGGATCTGGAGCTAATGAAAAAGCTGATTGCGTAAGGGCTGATTCATTAGTTTGAAAAGAAGTTGTAGCCTCGGGCAATGGGTATTGTGATAGTATTGCACCAGTGGTACTTAAATTTGTAAGAGGTGGCATAATATTTAATGATTTCTCTGAACTCAGCCACAGATTACTTTCTTCCGCTCTAATTGATCTTGAATTGCTGGGGTATGCTTCTCGATAAGATGTGCTGGCAATTTGTGGTTGAGAAACGCTACCAGGGAACATAATAGAATCAGATTTAGCTTTATCATCCAATTCTTCACCTGAAAGTTAAAGAAAACTATTAGAACTAAATGTCAAAAACATATTATTAATATTATTCAAGGCATTTATAAGAAATCAGTCATATTTATTTTCAGATATCGGTGTAAACTATGGATATAAAAGCAAGAAAAAATATTAAAATTTATTCCGTTCTTTTAAAATTTAGCTTAAACATTAAAATGGCATATATTTTAAGTTATTTAGCAGCTAGGATATTGCTTTAGATTTCGGCTTAAAAAATTTCTAATCATTTTCTCAGTTCAAAATTTATTATTATTCATTCATGAGTTAACTTTTTTAATAACCTAGAATCGAAGCTATCAGGTTTTTTTTCAATAAATAATTACAAAAATTTAAACAACTAGCATCTATTGAAATTTCTTCAGCAAAAATCCTTCAAAAACCTTAGAAAACAAATTAATAAATTTAAAATTTATAAATGTGAACAATTTATTGTTCTATCTATAATATCCATTCCTCGATTTTGTTGCATTGTCACATCTTAGTCTATCATCCATCCAATGTTTTCCCTATTTCAGCTTGAACGGATACCACTAGTTGATTCATAGCTGTTCTGTGAGAAGCCGGGAGAGCTGTATTAAGATCACCGTACTTTTGAGTGCTGATCGTGAAAGCTGTATTAAGTTCACGGCCGTTTCCGCTCCTGCATTGCCATTAGCAGTCGAGTGTATACAGGCAACTGGTGTGTGTTTGAGCGAGACTTAGTGGCAACAGCGTGAGTGGGACAATGTCACAGTCACAAATAGCGAATCAACTGTTCAATGTGGACCATCTATTCATGTAGGCGTGTTCAAATCGAAGAGTCTGTCGCGGTAGGCGTGCTCAGTGGAGATACCAATGTGGAGAGAGTCACATCGATAATGTAACATTATGAAAAGCTAATTCAATATAGAATCGAGTTAACATGTCTTATATACTAGTGAATTGGAATTGTATTTTTGTAGTGGTAGACACACTACAAAGAGTGTTGAAAAGCTATTGAATTAAAGTTCAAATATGGATACTAAAATAAAGTCGAAGCTGCCGATTTTCACCGAGTCGGATACNGATACCACTAGTTGATTCATAGCTGTTCTGTTAGAAGCCGGGAGAGCTGTATTAAGATCACCGTACTTTTGAGTGCTGATCGTAAAAGCTGTATTAAGTTCACGGCCGTTTCCGCTCCTGCATTGCCATTAGCAGTCGCGTGTATACAGGCAACTGGTGTGTGTTTAAGCGATACTGAGTGGTAACAGCGTGAGTGGGACAATGTCACAGTCACAAATAGCGAATCAACTGTTCAATGTGGACCATCTATCCATGTAGCGTGTTCAAATCAAAGAGTCTGTCGCGGTAGGCGGGTTCAGTGGAGATACCAATGAGGAGAGAGTCACATCGATAATGTAACATTATGAAAAGCTAATTCAATATAGAATCGAGTTAACATGTCTTATATACTAGTGAATTGGAATTGTATTTTTGTAGTGGTAGACACACTACAAAGAGTGTTGAAAAGCTATTGAATTAAAGTTCAAATATGGATACTAAAATAAAGTCGAGCTGCCGATTTTCACCGAGTTCGATACCTTAATGTTAATTTATTTTGCATATTGAGAGTACAAATTAGTTAGGTCCGTTTTTTTGTGGTCAAAAATACATTTATTTCAGGACAATCAAAGTATTGTCTATCGCTGGCTACTACTTTTTCCCACCTCTCAGGCAATTTTCGAATTCCATCTTGAAGAAATGTCTCGTCTTTTGAGGCGATCCAAGTTAGGAACCAATTTTCAATTTCTGCGTAAGAAGTGAACCGGTGACCTTCGAAATCGTGCTGCATCAGTCGGAACAACTAGTAATCAGAAGGAACAATGTCCGGCGAATACGGCGGGTGCGGTAAAATATCCCCTTTGAGCGTTTCCAAATAATTTTTTATGACTTATGCGACATGAGCCTATACCGATCACCCGTAATGGAATCGCCGGGTTGTAGCAGCTGATAGTATACAACACCATTCTTGAAACGTCTAAACCATTCCCTACTTGGAGCACTGTCACCACAAGCATTCGATGCGCTTCAGCAGCACTTTTCTTGCAATTAAAGTAGAAACATAAAACCTCCCGCAAATGCTCCTAGTTACCACAAAATTTGACATATTCAACAAAGTAAAAAAAAACAGGGTTTTTGTATGAAACTCAAAGCGATATAAACTGAATATTATTGACAGATATCTAACCTCTCTGAAACCACCGAAACCAGCTGTCAATATGAAACATTCATAACAGCCAGAGCTATCTTTTGAAAACAGACCGAACTAATTTGTACTCCCAATATTTCACTATATCTCTGAGACTAATTGAGTAATCAAAAAGAAATTTCTCGCAATTTTCAGTAACGTTTATCCGAAGATGATTCAGTGTAAACAAGTTATTTATTTTTTATCGTTCAATCAAATTAACAATGAAGTAAACTTTGAATTGAAACGTATATAAAATTTTATCTTGTTTCAAACTATGTCATCGAAAATAAAAATGACTTGTTTGAAATTTATTTCCTCAACATCAATTCGCTTGATTTCATTCAAGTTTTGTACTTTATTTAAAATTAACTTGTTTAAATCAACGGTAATATCGTATATCGTATGATCCAAATATATCGCATGATCCAAGCAATTTTTCATCATTATTATTTCAAAATTTATTATTATTTTAATTCAAAAGTAATATTTTTATACGTGAAATTATTTTTTGATAAGCAAAGTTTATATTTGAGTGCAAAAGGTACAAGATTTGCTTAAACGTTTCTAGAGGTAAAAATAAGTTAACATTTATTTTGAAGTCTAAACTTTCGAACGATCTTTTGCCTTTACTATTTTAAAGATATATTCTCCAGATTTAAGCTATCCTTCATATTTTGAAATTAACGAATCTCAATTTGTAGAAAAAAAAAATTTGAAAAAAAAAGTTCATTTTTGCTTCTATTTTTTAACGTATTCTGCACAACTTAACTTATTTAAGATTAAACCCACAAATCATAAGAATTTCATTTCAGTATGTAAAACTTATAATAATCAGATGAAAAACTTCGCGCTCTGTACAATGAGAGCTCTCTACATTTTCATTTAATAATGCCAGCACTGTACATTTTCATTTAACAATAAATGCATAATTGCAATTCAGTTCTTTAAAAAATATATTCCATTTTGCTTTGTCTCTTAACAAACTGTGACATAATCTTCGGGAAATGTACAGAAAATATTTTTCTTGTGTATCTTGAACAGTTTAAAATAGCCTTAAATGTATCAACAAGATATATAAATAAGATATGTTTGCGATCATTTATTGAAATTATGCAAACATTAACTTGCATGTGCATATTCACTAAAAGCTTACGGCTATATCACAGAGACCAAATAACTTGTGACCTTCTACTTTTCTTTATTTTGTAATCCTTATATTGTAATTATAGAACACATTCATTAATATCTTTCACAAAGTTAAGTAAACGACTCTGTTAGTCAAATTTAAGATTAAACAGACTTTGTAAAGTTTATTTTATATTTGTGATTTATTTGTATATTTATATGGGAGATTCTTTTTAAATATGATAATTCGGACCAAAAAATTTCTTCAAATTTAAAGTCTTCAAAATAATCAAAAATTTTTTTTGTATACTTCTTTAGCTACACTTATTAATATCTTATAGACAGCAGTGTAGTTTATTGACATTTGCTCGAGAAAAAAAATAAAATAGAAATTCACCAAATCTTGAATGCCAGGAAAATGACATACTAGCTTAGAAGTTTAAAAAACAGTCATTTTAAGTTAATAGTAAGTAACTCAACTTAGGCCTTTATGTTAGATGGACCATAAATTGCTTAAATTAATTCTTTTTATCCACTGTAGGAAGAATCAAAAATTTTTTTGTTACTGCTATGTACAGAATAAAATTGTGTATGATAATCAATTATTAGATAAATAAATAACTTCGATAACACTCAAGCATATTACAATCATACATAAACTTGGTATTGGGCTAATATTTGCTTTCCCTCCTTACAGTATTAGCAGTTAAAAAAAAATTGGTAACACTTCAATGTTCTGGCATTCATAAGCCAGGAAAATGACAGCCAGGTTAATGACAAATTCGCCATTTTATAGCATATAACTTTACTTTAATTTAATATTTTGGCCTAAGACGTTTATATTCTGCTGAAAACAGCAGGATTTCTTAAAATAACTCAGATAAATCTATGTAGTTTATGTTTTTAACGATTTCATGAAGCCAGGAAAATAACATAAAAACCTACTCACCTTGAAAATTTTTTTTAAATAGATTTTGAACCAGAAAATTGGTTCTTTATTCATGCAACAAGACATGTTCATATAAGAGGGCATTTAATCAATCTATGAACATAAGATATTGATTGCTGGCTCTATCTATTTTGGTTATAAATCACAAAATAAAAGTAGCCAGGAAAATGACAGACTTTCTTGGGACAAACAAATTATTGACAGAGAAAATTATTTTAAACGAAGTTTTTGTAAATAATACCCTCTGTGTACATTCTAGAAATGCTTACACCGGTTGAGATAAAAAAAATTAGATATTGAAAACATTGTTTAGGACATACCAGGAAAATGACATTTTGAAGTTCAATTAAATTTCTTAACTATACAAAACAGTCAATGCTAGTGCAATGTCCTTTTAAAATGCTAACAGCAATGTCATTTATAATTTTTTTTTAAAATGTTCTTTTAGTATTATAGTATTAGATCTTGGAGCAAGGGACAGTGAATTGTCATATTTCGTGAGAATCACCCATATACGCTAAAAAACGATTATTCAACCTCCAATTATACCTATTTTGATGCTTGCTTCCTANATTTTGAAGTTCAATTAAATTTCTTAACTATACAAAACAGTCAATGCTAGTGCAATGTCCTTTTAAAATACTAACAGCAATGTCATTTATAAATTTTTTTAAAAAAAATGTTCTTTT